GATATCTGTGGAAGGACAACACCCGTTAGCTGGGGCCGCGCTCGTCTTCCTTGCCAGCGCCGCCGCCGGCCGCTGCACAGCATCCCGGGGGAGGCTGTGCTGCAAAAACGAGAGACGAGGGACGAGTTTCGCGCTTTTGGCCTTAAAGCAGTTTTAGCAGGTGAAGCAGTTGTAAATGCGTGGACCTTTGAACATCAGAACACAGGGATGGCCACAAACAAGATAAGAGAGAACCGAGACACTAAAAGAGGAATGAGGGGCACAAAATATGATGTTTAGGAGCAGGAACTAATCCTATGATTAAGTCAACGGGGGGACTGGTTGCGTCGCTGAGAGCTGGGCTGGAAGAAAGCCCGGCAGGCCCGTGGGTATCCTGGACCCGGACTGGGAATCGCCACCCCATGGCCAGACCGGTCCCTCCTCACCTTGCACTCACAGCCCATCTGGTACCGCTGGTTCAGACTCTTCTTCTGAGTGGCGCTCATGGACTCCCAGGGCACGATGAAGTCACACAGGGTCACGTGCATCTTTCCATCCGCTTCTGCCTTGCCTGTGGGTTACAGGGACAGTCCCATCAGCAGCCAGATCACCCTGCAGCTCACCGCTGGCTGCCCACTGAAGCTCAGCAGGTGTGAGCCTGGCCAGTACCTGGAGGGGAGACTCCTGGGAAAGCTAAGGCTGCTGCTGGAAGAAGTGTTAGTGGGGCCAGCAGGGGGCGCTCATCCTGCGGTCTGTGTGGGTCCTTATGCCCCAGTATAGTGACAGGGACACTATACTCTAAAAAGGCACCATACTTCGCATGAGATGTAAAACCGAGGCCCTGACTCTCTGTGGTCATTAAAAATCCCAAGGTGTGTCTCAAAAAGAGTAGGGGTGTAACCCCGGTGTCCTGGCCCAATTTCCCATTGGCCTTTACCAATCATGGCCTCCTAATAATCTCCATCTATGAATTGACTTCATCACTTTGTTCTCCTCCTACTGGTAGCTGGTGTGTGGTGAACAAACTGGCACACACTGGCTGCCATCGCATCATCCAGGTGGGGGCTGCACAGTGGTGGTGGTGGAGGGGAGTCCCCACTACCTATAAAGCGCTTTGAGTGGATTGTCCAGAAAAGCGCTACAGTATATAAGTGTAAGGAATTATTATTATAATCAGTCACATGCTGCCTAGCTTCAATGTTAGCATTCCCACACTGGTAGCTAGTTAATGCTAGCCAGTCACTAGACACCATAAAGCCTCATTCACAGAGCACTGGGCTTTGTGATAAGAGAGAAGTGGATTCTGCAGAGTGTTTTTTTTTAAAGGCACTCAAGATCTGATCTGGGATTTAGAGGCAGTCAGTTTCTGTCTGACTTGCAGGACTGGAAAGAGTTCCTTTGAAATCAAGGCCTCAGCAATTACAAGCCCAGACTTCTCATACTATCTGCTTCCACTCAACTATTTTAAAGGAATTACCCATATTATCTTCAATGCCCACACTATAATTTCAGCTTGTTTTGGTGCAGGAGATCAGTCTAGATAGAGAAACCAGAGAAAGTCTGTTTTTACAGCCTTGAGTCTTGTTTTCCTTTTCCATTCAGTAAAACCTTTCAAACAGAAGTAACACTGTTGCATTAAAAATCCCTTTATGCGGCTTTATCTATAGTAAAATATTTAAAAATTTTAAAAATGGGAATAACATTCGAGTTTATTTAAGGAAAGCTTTAAAGATTAAATGGCATTTTTTTTTCCTCATGGCTCGTGGCTAACATTTGGAAAGTTGTTTCCAGGGTTTCAATGTTTTCAGATTTCCTGCAAACACCATCTCCCCTGAGATTCCACACGGCTTGTCGTAATGTTAGCGAGAGAGGCTGCTCCTCCAATCATCGCTGACTCGCCTGTCGGGCACTGTGGGAGATCTGAAAGTGGGCGTGTCAGAGGCACATGGCTGTGCGTCTCATTCTCACCCGAGTGGATACAGGAGATTTGGCATGAGAGCCAAAAAAAGATCCAATTCCAAATTCAGTGGGCATATAATAAAAAAATAATCAACAATTCAAAATTTAAGAAAAGGAAAAAGAAATTCTGGTGATGGCGTCTCACACGCTACCTGAAATGAGGTACTCCTTTTTGCCATTGGTCTCCAGAGTCACTCCACACACAGCAGAAGAGGGGGCAGTGAAGACAGTTTCTATGTCTCTATCTGGGCCTTTGAACATCTGAAACAAACAGAGCAGCAGCACATTTTACTGAAAACACAGATGTCTCAGAGGACAGCAGGGCCTGCTGGAAAGTTGACAGCACTCGATAATTTTTCCTTATTTTGTTTGGTTTCAGAAGAGGTTTGGCAGGAGTTGTTTTTTCCATTTCGGACTCATCTTTAAAATGAGCCTCGTCTTTCTTTCAGCTGTCCCCTTATTACTTCTCAACAAGGCAAAGACATCTCTTGTACAGAGATGCAGAAGTGTAGAACACGAACAACCATCTGCAAGCACCGTAAAGTGCAGCAATGGGTCAGTAAGCAATACAACAGACAGGGCAGGCACCTTCTTCCATTTCATGGACCGATGCAGGGAAATAAACGGGTCTGGAGTGTGGTACCCACTTATTCAGTCTCGGATGCTGTCTTACCAGGACCTGAGATCATTGCTGTTCTCCTGAAGCCTGTACCAAACTCAACAACACAGTAGACACTGAGCGATTAATTTAAACAACGTATACTACTAGCTTTACACAAACACCAGAAGATGCACTTTTTGTTTAAAACAGGGTTTTAAGAATATGATTATAATAATACAATGCTGTCATAAGCCTTTGAGGGGGAACCAGATTTTACTGTACCTCAGAATAAATCAATCAAGATCAGCCAAACAGAATAAAACAGGAGTGCAGTGAAGAGTAATGTGTCTAAAGACACATTCGTCACTTCCAGCCAGGATCTTTATCAGGAGTGATCTCAGTTCCTACCTTGATCTGCTTGATCTCATACTGGATTCTCTTGATTGGGTTGCCATAGATGTCGTTCCCAGAATCCACTTCCTTACCTCCAATCACCTTTGCCCTGATCACTGGGAGTAAAAAAAAAAAGAGAGATAAAGAAATGAACACATCAGGCTGATGCACTGAGCAACAGTGGCAGGTTCTCTCACTAGTCATAGCACTCTACAGCCTAGCCTAAAAAAGCATGGAAATGCTATACAAATAATTTAAAGTAACATGTTCCTCTAAAACACAAAAGTCCCTTACTCTACTTAATGTCACTGCCTTAAGCCACAGAAGTATGAACTTCAAAATACAATGGTTTTTGTAATGCCTAAGCTATTGCTGCAAGTACTGCCATGTCTTTCTTTGTGCAGATATTATCAATTCATCGTTTAAAAGCAGGATGAAGACAGAGCTGTGCTGAGGGAACACATATGGGTGCTCAACCGACATTATCAGAGCACAATTCTCCGTATGTTCTGTTCGTGTTCGCCTGCCAAGACAACAAACCCTGGAAACTGGAAAGAAAAGCCAAACCACTTTCCAGCTGCGAAGTGCTCTTCGCACACCTGAAGTAGGAGTCACAGCTGAAACATCGGCTTTTTCCTCCTTTCTGCTTTCCAGCGGGGAACTGAGCCTCCACGTGTTCCTCTTGAGGAGGTAAGAAGGTCAGTCTGGAGCGGCGCCAAGCTGTTCCCCCGCGGCGAAGCTAAAATTTACATTTTCTCAGCACAAAATTCTCCATCTAAACAGCTGACGTGTAGCCTGGTGCAGCCGTGGACACACAGCAGTTTGCTCACTCTTTTTTTCTTTCCTTTCTTCTTTTTTGGAAAGCCTGATTCAGGGGATTGGAGCAGGCTTGGCTGCAGACGAAAGAAAAGAGGGGGGCGAAGAATCCTCTGGCTCTGCTGTTTGCCGCCGGAGCTTCCTTTGTGCAGGGACTGCGTTCCCTGTCTCACCGCAGCCATGTGAGAGAGGAAAACCCCCAGCCTTTCATGGGGGAGACGGGGTTCGCCTACATTTATTCATCCAAAGCGGAAACGTCTTCATAAGAGGCAAGCCGCAAATGTAAACTTATATATATAGCCTCTCGGATCACAAAGCTGTTCTAGAACGAGAGTAGAATCACCCCTCCAGGACTTGACTCCCTTGACTCGCATTACGCTGTCATCGTGTCTCTCTCAGTGAGGGTGCCTGCAAAGTACTCTGCAGATCCTGCTGCTGAGCTCTTTCTTATTCAACAGAAACACAACACTGAATGCCGGCCCGAAAGTTCACTAAAACACTCTAAGAACATGCAATGTTTTCAAGACCAATTCTTTTGTGGTTAACCGTATAGAGCAAACATTTAATCATTTACTTTGGTAAAACTTTTTAGGTAGGCAGTATTGGCTGAAAGCACCGATTGCCAATTTCGGCTAACACTAATTAACAACATGTTGATCAGCAATGAGCTCCAGATCTTCCACCTCGCACTTTAAACAGAGCCTTGTCTGACTAAAGCCTGGATTAATCTTGTTTTAACAAAAATATACAATCTGGAAAAACAACTGGCTGGCTACGTTACTAACTGTGGCCTTCTATATGATTTTTGCCTGCTGTGGGCTCCACACTGGTCTTGATACAGAGCACATTTTTGTGCTCGCAAGATTCTTAGTCTGAAGCACTTGATGTTACATTATCAAATGCCTCTGTGGGCCTGTATACAAGAAGCAGGCTTCCTACTCCAATGGCTGCTTTCAATTTAAACCCCCACCACATAAAAAAGGCCCAGGATAACGATGAGCAGATGCAATTGAATTAGAACAGCTACTCAAGAAGCCAGCCATATTTCCCAATCAGAAACAGATAGATTCCTAAATGGCACATCCAAGCAGTCGAGAGATTGTTTAAACTCATGTAGAGCTGGGCAACAGCTCCTTTTCCTACTCCAACTTTACACCCACAATCAAATTTGTATACAATAAACAGTAATGTCATCATTGTCAGGATCAACAGCCCTGTAAAGGGTGAAATGTTATGAGATTTGATTGGCACTCCCTTTCTCTAGAAATGCTTTGGAATAACAATTTTTTTAGTCCTAAGTCTAAAATAACCAGGGAGCATGTCATATTGTCTAACATCCTGCAAAGATTAACAGAAAAAATGGTTTTGCTAGGTCACAGGGGTTGCCTTCAGAGTATAGGAAAATATAAACAATCAAAATGGCAGCTTGTTCCACTTGAATACCATGCCAGCTCTACGAACAAGCAGCAGAGCGATTCGTCCAGCAGGGGGCACTGAGGAGCTGGGCCAGGACTCGCAAACCAACTGTGGTTCAGGGACAAGAGCAGAGTGCCTGCTGCATAAGCTAGGTCTCTTCCAAGTCCAAAGCCCGTTCTCAGCAAGCATACTGCATGTCATAGGACTGGGGGCTATAAACGGGACTGCATACAGTAGCACAAGTGAAAGGAGCAGTATCTTCACTGGTTATCGAACACTTTCACTTAACATCAGGTAAGTTAGCTGTGTCAGCATCCTGTGTCAGTAGTTTGTAAACGAACAGGTTAAAGTTTATTCCCCACTGAAAGGAAAAGAGACAACATTTCGGTTGTGAAGCCTTCTTCAGGTGTCTGACATTTCGGCTCCACAGCCAAAACATTGTGTCTCTCCTCTTTTCCTTTCAGTGGGGAATAAACCTTTACCTGTTGCTTTCTGCATATGAGAAACATCCCACCTTTCTCTTTTTCCTGAGAGTGTTTTAAATCAAGTTTTAAATCATGGCCCCCCAGAAATGTCACAGCAACAAGATCACAGTATTGAAGGGAAATATATCTTGTCCTAAGGCAGGGACCAGCATTCTGCATTGTGTTGTCTCACAATTTAAAAATTGTAAATTAAATTAAAAATATGACAGCCTTGCATTATATCACTGTACAGCCAGCATGGATGCCAACACTGACAAATACCCAGAGCTGTGCAACACCTCAGTAAGACAGGTATGGCATGGCAAATGTGAGCCCAGGGGTATTATACAGTACTAGTTACTACACAGGAAGATGCGGAATGACTGAAAAATAAAAGAAACAAGTTTGGGAAAAGACATGAGACTGCAGGTTAGGATTCACTTTAGAGCCTGGAAGGTACAGAGCTATGAAGGGCTCACTGCTGCTGATAAGATAATGAGAGCCTTGTCAGAGCACATGCTTTCCCTAGTATCACTCTTGCACACAACATCCAGGTTTCTACAGCAAGCCTCTAACTCTCCATGTCCTCTGCTTAGGATGTTAACTACACACAGGGGACTCTAGACTACTTTTAGCAATCATTTAGAATAATCAGGCAATCTCGGCTCAGTGTAATTTCCGCACACAGGGCTGCAAAAATTTAATCCGCAGCTCCTGTTTTTTCCTCCATTTAATGGCTCAGTTAATGAGTCTTGTATGCACTCTGCCACAGACATGGAGACGATTGCCCTGCAAGCCTGGAGTTATAGAGCCCTTGTGAGGTGTTTTTCCGAAATTAATATTAGTTTTTAAATCTAGACCTACATCGTTTGCCATCGTAGGTAACGTGTACTGGAGGCGGAGGGGGCACTGGGATGGTGAGGCTGCTGGATGTTTCCTCCACTACAGACTCAGGAGTGCTTGTGAAGGCCCTCCAGCTCAGAGGTCACTGGCCCCGGTCCTGGCTGTCGCTAGCCAAGTGTGAAAAGGATTCCCCAAGTGGCACATGTCTGACTCACCGCTCCCAGGGCTGGGTGGGTTTGAATTCATCAGGATGGCTTTGGCTTACAGTTCACAAACTACACGCTGCCTCAGTAGGTAGACATGCACCTGGGTTAGCTTTGCTGCCAGTGCAAGCTGTATTAGTCCCCCCAAGTGCCCATGATATAGGCAGGCATAACAAAAAGCAGAACCAGACAACCTGCTAGTTCACATATTAGCTGGTACTTGTATTGCATTTTCCTGTCCTGTGTTGGTATGTGTGAAACAAGCTTGACTGAAAACTTGGGCCTATAAACACATCTCCTTTCGTAGTGTAAAAGGCTGTCTCCACATTGCAAGAATGAGTTAGAGTTAAGATACAGGCAAATGTTGTTAATGGCTTTTAGAGCTCAGAAGTTCCATTTAAGCGGTTCAGAATTATACACAGAAGAGAAAAAAAATCAGCTTTGCAAAGAACTCGGGCTTCAGAAAAGGCACAAGGAAGTTCAAACTCTGCAGCAAATGCAAAAAAAGCATGCAATGGGAAAAAAGTGGGATTTCTCACAGATGAGTCAATAGCATTGTGACCTGAGAGATACTGACCCTACATCCGGAAACTCTCGTTGTGCAACCGATTTAGACTGAGGACAAAGAATTACAGGGCACCGTGTCCCCAAAATCACAGCCCTTCCAGCCAGGGGCAAGAGACCCATCAACTCAGTAAGGGTTCAGAGAGCAGAGAGCATGTAATGACATCGTTTGACTCACAGCAGGACGTTATACTGTACATAAAGACCCTTATAGAGGTATGGTAAACCCAAGATACAGCTTTGCAGCATTTGTCATGAGTATTAACAATAATGAAAAAAATCACACCAACCTCTGTGAATGGATGGTGTCACTTTACCCAAACAGTGACGCTACAGGTGCTAAGTGATCAGAACTCTCACTATAATCTGAATATGAAGCCATCATTTACTGTACACCGCTAGTACGAAAAATGAAGTGGTTTTCACATAAGGAACAAGTAAAGATTCATTCCATGCTGAAAATGGAAGAAAAGAAACAACGTTTCAGCTGTGGAGCCTTCTTCAGGTACCATAGGACCCATAGTAGGCTCCACAGCCAAAATATTAGGTTTCTTTTCAGCATGGAATAAACCTTTACTTGTTCCTTTGCTGTCTACACATGCGGATACAGCTCCCTACTTGAAAGGCTTTTACATTAGCCGCCTATGGGCATTTACACTCCTCCTAGTTAATCCATTACAAATCTGCAGCTATACATGAAGACATCAGGTCGTCATGACAGATGACAGGCTAACCAGAGAGTTCAGAATTAATACAGTAACCTCCTATACTTCCCAGAAAGAGAACTTTTCTTCCACTCAAGAGTAAATG